CTTTAAAGAGCTTATTTTGCCTCTCTTAGGAAGTGAAAGTTTCTTCCCTTAAACCTTTGCTACTTGACATTGTTCCCACAAACCCTGCTGATGATGGTTGTCTTCAGATTGCTCACCCCTTATGGAAAGCACGGGTGTCCATACTTGAAACCTGAGATTCATCTGCAACTTTGGGGATGATTAAAAAAAAAAAAAAAGAGGCTGTTTCCTTGCTGGAATGAAGAATACAATGTTCACCTGTAAGTCCTGGCATTCTATCCCTTTTCCAGTGTGTCTGTGGGAGGGAGACAAAGAACATTGCTAAGCACAATAAAGCAAATGTGACATCTGTGATTTTTTAGCAAACAAAAGCCAGCATCCAATTCTAGATCAATTTGTTGTGCTAGGGTTTCTTTAAAAAAAAAAAACTCAACAAAAGAATTGAAAATTAAAATTTGAGCAAGCTTCTAAAATTGATTGAGCCCTATCAATCACATTTACAATTGAATAACTTTTATGTAGACATCTTTCTTCATTTTGTTATCTGTTTCCAGTTGGCCTTTTGATCAGGAAGGTGAATTTGATTAGTACAGATTTGTAGCTTTTCTCAAGACATCAACTGTAGGTTTCCTTAGGCTAGATTATGTGACATTTTTATTACTTTTGCCACTGAACTAAAGCAGCTTTTCCATTTATGTTTATGATAGGTTTTGTAAATGTCAAATTCCTTGTTAGAAAGTCAGAGTTAACATTCCAAAAGTCAAAGGCTGATGTAAATAATGTTCATGGATACTCACTCAGTTTGAAGTAATTTCATATCACATTTCCCTCCAAAAATCAAGATAACCTACTTTTCAAATAAATATTTGAAAGAAAGAAATCAAGCTGCAGTCAGAATAAAAAAAAAGATACAGAATAGTCTAAAATGTGGTATCTGCCTAGATTTCAGGTATAAACAAAAAATACGAACATACAGGTAAGACCAATGTGAAATCAATTTGCTATGACTAAGTTTGTAATTTTAGGTTAGTTAACCCTTACACCAATTCCTTGGAACTAACTTTATAAAATTATGGAGGATTTGAAATTAGGTTTCTATCAACTTTAGCTAATATTTTTGATTCCTGTTATCTCCAAGGAAATAAACCTGTTCAAGTATATTGGGGATTAGGTTGCATCTTTCTTTTTTCTATCCTTTCATTTTTTAGGAAATGACAAGTTGGTAGGTTATTTAATGTTTTCAAAGGAAAGGAGAATGGCTCAGCTTCTTTATGGAGATCAGCGAGTTCAGGATACTTTCACAAATTGGGGGTCACAGACTCAGAAGCCTTTGGTGGCCAGACAAATGATGTCTGAGAGATGAATGCTGGAAGAGGACTGCAGAACACCTGTCCTCCTACTGCATTCCAGGGAGTGTGGCCCTGCAAAGACCAGGCATGGAAGCTTCTGCTGTGTGTGTGTTTTAATGTTCAGTCTCCTGATTTTCAAATGCTGGCAATCATTTTTCTTCAAATGAATTGTGTGTATTCTGTGAGCTGCACTTGGCCTATAAGCCTACTGCCTACAAGCCAATAACTGCCCACAATAATTTCATACTGGGAGCCAATCCATTATGCACAATTATTTATAATAAGGAATATAATTGTCAAGTTCATTTTAATTCTCATTTTTGGCTGATCTGAGCACTATATTTGAGAGCTTAAACAAATATGAAAAGGTTGCTTGGTGATTTAAGAATCAATGTAAACAGAGTTATAGGATTCTGATAGATTACTTGATCAAATAGATGTTGAGTGTCTTACATGTACCAGGCACTGTTTTAGGCATCAGAAATACAACTGACTACAAGGTACCTATGTAGAGGTGGGAGGTAGAAAATAAATAAGTAAACAAGAAAACTAGAACTTAGTGGTAGCTACCATTCAGAAAAGTAGACTAGGGTAATGCAATAGCAGGTGCTGACTGGTTTCCCCAAAGGAGCCTGTGAACCTAAATCTTCAAGGCTCTCAAAGTGTTGAATTCTTTCTAAAGTCTCCTTTTGCTCTAGGTCTCTCAATGAAGTCACAAGAAGACTGGAAATGGATTCTTCTATCAAGACTTCCATAAACTTCAGAGTATGAAATGTGTCCAACAAGTGGGGATGCTGGGGTGAAAGGTGCCGCCCCATTCCCAGCCGTGCATGGGTGCAGAAGGAAATAATGCTCACGTAGCCGTGTGCCGCAGGGCTGGTGTTATTTATATAACGCCACGGCTGGGCCAGGTTGGCGCTGGAGCAGGGAGAGGAGGGAGAGGCTGGTCTTCATGTGAGAGAACACAAATGCACTCAGCGTTTGAAACGTGAATTCTTGAGGAGGGTGTGGGGAATACCATCACCACTCACGTTTATGTATATGTCACTATGTGGGCAACACAGCCTTCTAGCATCTTACTTGTATAGCATTCATTTGGGAGTAGGGAAGAAATGGCGATTTGGGAGTGAGCTGCGGTCGGCAGTGGGTGATCCACGCTGCTGGTTACTGAGGACCTGAAACTGGCAAATGCGCCCCCTTGATCCTCCACCGAGGACACGAAAATCAACTATATGCGTACTTTGAAAAATGGAGAGAGGGTTGCTTCTGAATGCTGGCGACCCTTGGGCTCGCGGCCGGGAGTGGGATGCAGGCAGGTGGGCGGCTGGCATCTCTGAGGCGAGCAGAGGTCACGGAGACCAGGCGCAGGCCGGGTGGGTGGGGGCATCGCGCGGAGGCGGGAGCTCAGCGGCGAACACAACCCCATTCATACGCTCTGGGCGCACGCCGACTCCTCTGGGATCC